GGGTGTGGAGCCGCAGGAGTCAGAGGAGGAAGAGGCGTAGCTGGAGAGAGCCTGGCTTAGCAGGGGCTCCATGCGGGCCAAGCAGGGCTTGTCCAGGACAATGACCTTGACAATTTGCTGACACTGCACCAGGGTCCCTGGGGGCGTGGGTGGTGATGGCGGCAACGGCGGGGGCTGCTCTCTCAGGGGGCTAGGCTGCGGGTCTGGCGGTGGCACCGCAGCTCTCCTCTGGGCCCCCAGCCCGGAGTTGTGTTGGGACGTTTGAAGCCTGTTGTGAATTGACACCTAGTTTAGAAACAGCCAGAGAAGCATGAAATGTTACAAGACTAATTCCCAGCTTCTAGGACTGGCTACCCTGAGCCTCCCTTGTCCCCTTCCCTGGCTCCTGTGCCCATTAGGGGCTCTCAGCCCTCACCTTGACCCACTCCCCATCTCTCCACCAGAGGAAAACTGGCAGCCAACAGAGGTTCCATCCCTGCAGTCAAGAGACTGACGTGTTCTGCCATCGACCATGAGCAGCCTCAGTTCTCTCGGCCTCAGTCTCCTCATCTGTGAGATGGGCGTTTGGACCATAGACTCACTGAGGTTCTGCATAGCTCTGCGGTCTGACTTCATGGCCCTGCTGGGTGGCTTTGGGCTATGGGTAAACTTCTCCCCACCTTCCTCTCTACCAGCTTCTGAGCTTGAAAAACTGGGGTAAGGGTCTTTGCTCCCTCCCTGCCTCCCAGGGTATGTTGAGAGCCAAGGGAGGACTCAGGGACAGGGTTCAGCACCTGAGACTTTCCAGCCCTCTCCTTCCTCTGGCGTTGTTAGAGGGGAAGCCTCATTGTCACTGTAGACATCACGAAGGCACCCAAACCCCAGACTGCCAGGAACCCCTGAGGGGTGATCTGGAACTCCCCCCACTTCCCCGCCCCCAGACTCCCAAGGCCATGACCACACATTCAAGAGCAGCCCAGAGAGCAAAGGCCAGAGTCTGATCCCCAGCTGCCTTTATGGCCCAACCTGGATCCTGGTTAAACTTATTCTGCTGCAGGAGGGGGTGCCCAGAAAGGATTCTAATCCTTATCTCCTAGGTGGGGCATGAGGAGGTGGCCCCCTCCCTCAGGCCATGGGGGTCACTATGAACCAGTCTGGCCTCTTCTTGCTAGCAGGGGGAGGGGAGGAAATGGGTGGCAGAGCGGCTAGAGGATTCTGGAAGGAGAGGGCTTTAATTCCTCACCCCGCAAGTCTCTAGATACTACAACCCCCTCCCGACACCTGAGCCCCTGGGGGTGGCCGAGCCCCTTCGCTCTGAGGATGTTTTCTACTGTCCTTGGAACCACCACCCAGGACAGCCTGCTCCAAGCCCAGGAGGATCCAGGCTACAGGGAGGGGACCTTATCCCCAGGCCTAGACCAGGAAGGCCCAGCCCAAAACGATCTCGGGGCCCTAACCAGAAGATCTTAACCCCATTATTGGCAAAAGGTGCAATTTCAGGGATCCCCCCCGCTTCCAGGGTCCCCTCTCCCAGTGGCCTGTCCCTCTCCACAGCTCCCAAGCCCCATCTGTCTGCCCTTCCATAGTCACAAGCCCCCAGCCATGCTCAGCATGTTGCAGTCTTTACTCTTCATTCTCAACCTCCAGCCTTGGCAGCACTTTCCAGGCCTGAGATTCCCCCAAACTAATGAAGGGGCCCCTGAGCCCGCACTGCCCTGCCAAGACACAGGGTGGGCAGAGAGCGTGGCTGGGCCACTTCCCTCCTGGGGAGCCCTCTGTGGCCCTCACTTGGGCAGAAGGCCTCTGTCCAGTGCTGCTGAGGGCAGGGCGGGGGGTGGTGGGGACAAGCTCCCTTCCCCACCTGCTCATATTCTGACCTATTTCCCAGGAGAAAAGTGGCCAAGACAGCAGGGGCAGGCTTGTGTCCCTTCTGCTCCCCCCACCCCCCAAGACTCTATGGCTGCCCCTCCCCAGGCAAATGCCTAGCTGCCCAGTCCACACTCGCCGAGCCCTCTTCCTCCTCCTCCCCAGCTGCCCCCATGTAGCCCACAGCTCTGGACCTCATCCTGCCCCTCCTCTTCACCTCCCCTTTCTGATCCCACCTCCACTGTCTCACCTCCCTCCTCCCCACCCCAGCCTGATCCCTTATCTTTAATAGTAAGTGAAAAGCAGGAAGTGACAGCAAAACATTTTCTCATCCTGACCCCCTGCTGAAGAAAGAAAGGAGAGAGAGAGAGAGAGAGAGAGAGAGAGAGAGAGAGAGAGAGAGATTGAGGATGGAACATGAGTAGCAGCTCGAAGATGGAGAAGCGCCTGCCAGAGGGGCTTGGCCAGGGAATGAGGAAATGACAGAGAGGGCAGAGGACAAGGGAGCTCAGGGTCCAGCTGAGAGGGTGGGGCAGTGAGGCTGCCCTCTGTGCGGGGAACAGAGGCTGGCAGGGCCCTGGGGCTAGCTGGGGTGGCAGCCTTGCAGATAGCCACATGGCCCTCTGGGGAGGGTTGGAGGGGAGAACGGGCCATCGGAGTGCTTGTCCTCCCTGTGCAGGTCCGGCTAAGGTGTGGGCAGGGCTGGCAGAACAAACCCGAGGGCTGGTAACTTGGTGTGTTTATCTGCAAGGCTAGAGAATGGGCAGCTGCAGGAAGATGGGGAGCAGAGGGGGCAGGGGATGGAATACCCACCCTGGGGGCTTGTCAGCTGCTGGGGCAGGAAGCTCCTCGGTGTAAAGGTGCCTCCTCCAGACACAGGTGTGTGGGAGATGGGGGCCGTGGGGAGCGAGAAGAAACTGGGCTCCCCTGGGTATCCTGGGGCTTCCCTGAGGTTAGTCAGGCTGGTGAGGGCAGGACTCCTCCCCCAGATCTCTACGTGGGGGCTCCTCCAGCTTGGGGGGGGGCGGTGGGAAAGGAGGCGTCTGTGTGAGCAGCTAGTGGTCCCTGGAGGCTTGGCAGAACAGGAGTGAGGAGGCTCATTGGGGTTTGAGGGGAGCCAGTGCAGGAGGACAGGGGCCCAGAAAGGCTCGCAGGGCAAGCAGGGGACGCTCTTGGTGCCTGGGAAGGAGTGGCTGCTGCTGCTACTTTCCAGTCCTTCCCATGTGGCTTGAGGATGGGCTTCCCTCTCACATGGACAGTCTTCAGAGAGATCAGCTCTCCCCCCAGAAAACCCCTAAGACAACCCCAATCTATTCTGCTTCACTTTCTCCTGCACACACCCTACCCTGTGGCCCACTTTCCAGATGGACCAGCTGTTCCAGGGAGAAGCTCTGTCCTCCAGCTTCTCCAAGAGGCACCGGAGGGCAGGGTCCAAGAGGCATGGGGGGGGCGGCGGTGAGAATATTGGGTTCTCTGATACAGCAGGTGTTAGGGGATCGGTGAGCAGTGTGCTTGGGTGTGTGTGTGGGAGGGCTTCATCTGTAAGGTGTTAGTCAGGGAGCTGGGCCTGGGAGGGCAATCAGCTGGCCAGGCTGGGGGTGGGAGGAAGTGCTGCAGCTTAACTAGGCGCTGAACAGTGGCATTACCCATGCTAGCAGTAACTTTTAATTGTATCTCTTGAAATTGGTAAAATGGTGAGTCGGGCTGGGGAGGCATTGATTAATACCTGAGAAGAGAAACAACAGAGACAGTGAGAAGGACAAGCGGGGGCACAGAACCACTCACCGGGGCAACCAGGCCTCCACTCACCTCCACCGTGCTCTCCGAAGGCCTCTCGCCCAGCGCAGCTTCCCTTTTGGCTTTGAATGCAAAGAGCACAGGGCTCATTCTCCACCCTCCTGATACAAACCCCTACCCCCTCCGACCCCTCAAACTGAGCATGCCTACAACGAGAGGGCGTGGCTGGTGATACTCTGGGTGCCACGTCACTCCTGACTGAGATGCAGCCAGGCGAGTGGACTGGCAGGGGAGCCCAGCTGTGTGACCCTGGGCAAGATGTCACACCTCTCTGAGCCTCCACAGACCAGAAGATCTCTGAGATTCCGTCTAACGTGGCCATTGTGGAGCCTTCCTGACATGGACTGTGCAGGCTGGTTATGAGCTGGCATTGGTTCTTGTCTCCCAGAAACACAAGGAGGCTCTACTGGGCATTTGTGGGCACCAGGTTCATCGGCCTCCTTCAAACACAGGCTCCTTTGTGTGAGGAGGGGCCAAGTTCCTTTTCTGTTCCCATCCCCGCTGCTTGGCCCACTGGTGGGGATTCAGTGAAGTGAGGCTTCCAAGCACTCACCACAGGGCCTGGCACGGAAGAGCCCGTGATGGCTCTGTAATTGCTACAACGGTGGACTGACTGGCCTGGTGCAGCACCAGAGACCCTGTGGACCCCCAGGGACAACTTGATGACTTTTTCTGGCTCAGTCATCTTCCTGCCCTCCCCATCCCACCCAGCAGGCATTCCAGGGGCTCCTCTGCCAGAACCCCTCTTATTTCTCACACCCCTGGGGTGGGGGAGGTTGTCAGCTCCCACGCTGCACTCATCCCTCTGCCTTCTGTAGCACAAAAGGGAGCTGGGCCAGTGTTTGGGATCAAGAAGCACTCCATGTGGAGGCCCCTGATGGACAGGGCCTGGAGGGACAGGGCCTGGAGGGACAGGGCCTGGGGGACAGGGCCTGGAGGGACAGGGC